TTAAAAAAAAAAAAAGCTGAATTCTGCATCTAAAGTAATTAGGAAAGACACTGTCTCCTTAGTCATGAGTTATTACTGCAGCACCTTTGTAAGGCGCCCGAGGAAGTTGCTTTCTCACTAGGCACTGTTTCCCAGTGATGAAAATGACAGCTTGGCTTAGGTATACCCTTTTGAGGGTCCATCAATACAGCACTCGGGAAGTGGTGCCAGGCTTGGAGAAACAGGCAAACGAATGCAGGACGGCGTGCTTCCTGAACCTGGTTCTTCCACAGACAGTCAAGGTCAGAGTGGGACTTACTTTCTCTGTGGGCATATGATAGAGAAACTATGAAAGTATAAAACAAAATGCTGAAAGTATAAAACCTTGCTGGCCAGGGTATCATGCCAGCAAGAATGATGGACAGAGTAGAGAGAGGAGAAAAGAAAGAGGCCTTTTAACAGCAAAACCACAATACAGACGAGAAGCTCAGAGTTTCGGGATCACACCAGGTACAAGCTTCTTTACGTTAGTTTAGATTTTCAGCAACAGCTGGGAAGAATTGAGGTGTGTTAGAAATTCACTATCCTGGGTAAATGGATAAAGCACTAAATCATGTTTAGGGACTAGTTCTTTGCAGCAAATTTAAATTTGACATCCTTATTAATAACGAATGATTTAGCTACATTAAAAATAAACTGTAAGATTTTTGCAAGTATTTCAATGTATAGAACAGAATGAAATGTAAACTACTCTGGTAAAATATATATCCTACTATAATTACATATAGAAATAAAAATTATTCTTATTAGCTCCCTTAAAATGAATACTAAAAATAAGTCTTACAAAAAGTATAGAGCAGTATTTGAATTTAAATTATTTTTTATCCTGATTAAAACAAATGCTACCTGTTACTTTTGTGACAAAAAATATTTGAGAGGTCAATACGAAATGTTCAACTATGTTTTCAGGATAAAATGAGTAACGGGGAAATCATAGTATAGTGCCTGGGAAACAGCATATGCTCAAGAAAGTTTTTTTTTTTTGTAAATCTGGAACCAAGGATTTTATTACCAATGATAATATGATGTTTGCACAACATTAAGAGTCAAATCAAATCATAGTTTTATCTATTATGGTTCTAAACTAATTACAAAATATTACAAAAAATAACAACGCTTTTCTGTAAGATATGTGTATTGGCTGGGCACGGTGGTTCACGCCTATAATCTTGCACTTTCAGAGGCCAAGGTGAGTGAATTGCTTGAGTCTAGGAGTTCAAGACAAGCCTATGCAACGTGGCAAAACTCCACCTCTACAAAAAATACCAAAATTAGCCAGGCATGGTGATGTGTACCTGTAGTCCCAGCTACTCAAGAGGCTGAGGCAGGAGGATCGTTTGAACCCTGGAGGCAGAGGCTGTAGTGAGCCAAGACCACACCAGCCTGGCCTCAAAAAAAAAAAAAAAAAAATCTGTATTAGACACTGTGTATCACACAGTAGCAGCGTTTGTTTTCTTATGACCAAATTAATGGTCAAATTGTTTTTTACTGAAAGCAAGTTTCTACCTTATCAAAAGTAAGAAGTTAACACAAAGTATTAAGTAAAAATGATAACGTAAGGATGCAGAATATTCTTTAGTTTTTTAAAAAATACACATAAATATGTGTATACATAAATGTGCACAGAACTTTTGAAATCTATACATATTCAGTTATTAATTTAAAAAATCTAACAGACTTTTACTTAAAAATCGTTTGAGAAACTTTTGAACCCCTTTCTTTGAAGTAGGCAGAAGTCCTGCATTGAAAAACAAAGGACTTATCTAAGAACAAAAGGATTTCTTCAGAAATTTTCCAAGTTGTTGCAGCTTGTCAATCCCTCCCCCTACAGTACCACAAAGTAGTGTACACAAAAGGATGGGGGAAAAGGTGATTTTCCTTAACACTGGCCACTGACACACCTTGAAGCCATACTTGGTTTAACCAAAGCCTATGGTGATCAACTGGCCTTTGCAGAATAATTTAACTACTCAACAGCTGGAAAGAGAAACAAGATTTAGTGAAAAAAGCACCATGCTGATGAACAACAATATTGCCCATATTAAGCTCTATTTTCTGAGTCAAAGTTTGGGTCATGTAAAAGTAAAACTGGCCCCAGAGAAGAGAACCGTTTCTCACAGATTGCCATTTAAACCTCAAATGACCATGTTTCACAGCAGGCTCAATACATTCCAGCATGTAACTGCATTTTAATTTCCTAAAACCACAGGACATAAGTCTGATTTCAAATAGTGTCTGGACTGTGACATTCAATACTGATAAAACTGTGTGTGATATTCTCTTGAAAGTTCCACAGATTCAGCATATGAAAAAAAGATCTTCGATTTCTTCGAAGCACTTATTGTCAAAGAAATTTACTCTCGAGTTTTGTAAATGAATTCTAAACAATGAAGATTAAGAGCTAAAGCTACTGCCATAAGAAATGTAACCTACTAGTTATAGGAAAAGAACACACAATATATTCATCGCTCACAAGGATATAGTATGTTCGTGACAAAAATGGTCATTATGAGACTTTAAATATTTTTTGCCATGTTCATTAGTATGTATTCTGGAAAATAATTTTTAAATATATTAACATGAATGTTTATTTGAATGTCTATTCAATGGATAGAAATTATTCAGTCATCTTTTCAACTTTATAAAAGGAGAATTTGTGTTTAGTCTCCAAGTATTATGTAAGAAGAAATGCAACCTTTAAAACTGATCAATAAGGAAAAAAAGAAGGCAAAGCTATCATAAGTTGGGGAGTAAGAAATTTAGGATCATAATATTATTGGAATGCAACTTAAACAGAAAAAGTTTTTATGTGAACATGAAATCTTTTAGTAAGATGTTCAGCAGTTTTCATCATAGGGACTGGACTAACCTGACCTTAAGAAAGCCAGAGGAGAAATTTTTTTTGAGGGAAGAGAGGAGAGTAGAGAAGTGTATGCTTTCTCTTATAATCCTATTGCCTTTGGCTTTCAGCCTGACTCCAAAACTGATTGACAAATTTAATATTTGTTTTTAAGCAACATATCTGATCAATGAGGTGTAACTTTACTCAGAAGGAAATGATCAGACGTTGACTAATAATTTCAGGTGTGGGAACTATAAAGCTCTGGTTATTCTAAGAAACCTAAACATCCAGAAAAACTGGGGCTAATGCCAGGGTACCTGGCATATGAGTCATCTGTGTCCCTATGGTCACTCGTCATCAGATTCTAAGGTATCATCATGTGTAAGGAGGAGTCACTCTTGATTTCATAACAGCTTTTCAAGGAGATAACAAAATATATTACATGAGCCTTTTTTTTTACACGAAAAACCTGATTTGTGAAACAAATGCACATCTTAGAACTGAAGAAGTTACTGCATCCCTTTCCCTGCCCCCTTATCTTTCATTTGGTTTTGCCCCATCTACTCCTCTCTCCTCCTCCAGGCTTTCCATTGATCTTTCCTTCTTTTTTCCCAAACTTAGACAACGGGTGGTAGCTAGAAAAATGTTCACACTCTTATGAAATAAGGATCAGGCATCTCCTCTGTGGTGGGGTTCTATGAGGCCTCAAAGTTCAATTAAGCACAATTGGGAATATCAAGGAACTTGAAGGGGAAGACAAGCCTGTCAACTCAATGCAACCCATCCCAAGAGCATCAGCATCCGTGCCTGTCTTACAAAGCCATGGCTGAAAGCCGGGAGGACTATGAGGGCTGTGTGGAGGAGTGCTGCTTTGAACTGTGAGTGGTACTTAGACTACAGGGAGGTAAACAAAACTGCACGATTTTGCAGAGAGAGAGATCACAGTAAATAAAAGTAAATGCAGACAAAAGCCTGTGGCAGATATGGGATGCAGCATTCTAATTTGGCAAGTGACCACCAAAAAACAGTAATGGGGGCTGTTCTTAGCATGTTTATCTCATTTTAATCCTCATTACAGCTCAATAAGGTAGATCCTATTATTATCTCCATTTTAAAAGTGAGAAATCTGAGACCAGGGAGATTATTAAATTGCCTAAGGGCATACAGTTTACCAGCTGATCATGAAGCCAGGATTTGAATCCAGGAAGCCTAACTCCAGGGCTATACTTTTTTTTTTTTTTTGAGACAGTCTTAGACTGTTGCCCAAGCTGAAGTGTAATGGTGCAATCTTGGCCCACTGCAACCTCCACCTCCCGGGTTCAAGCGATTCTCCCGCCTCAATCTCCTGACTAGCTGAGATAACAGGCACCGACCATCAAGCCTGGCCAATTTTTGTATTTTTAGTAGAGAAGGGGTTTCACCATGTTGGCCGGGCTGGTCTCGAACTCCTGACCTCAGGTGATCTGCCTGCCTCGGCCTCCCACAGTGCTGGGATTATAGGCGTGAGCCACTGCACCCAGCCAGGGATATACTTTCAATGTCTGTATATACTCTTAGTACACAGAACACCGAAAATGGAACAATGGGGAACAAAATACGGCTGGGACTATCCTGGAGGGGTACACCAGAGATAAGAAGAAGGTCAAAAAAGTATTGTCACAAAATCCATTACAGTCTGTTTGCCTCCATGAAACCATTCTACAACTTTATTCTGTCCAGTTGGTCAATATATCTATCTCCTCTACACTGACTAAATAATCCAACTAGAAGTCAATTTTTAGGCACTGTGATAGTTGGAAAAGATATGGATATTGATATCAGCCCCTCAAAGCATATAAAAACTAACCTAATGGGAGAAGTCAGGTCAGTAAGTGGCACGAGCACATGAGGTTTCTTAATTTTGTGCCAAACTGTGAGTGTGAGTTTGTGTGCATGTGCAAAGTCTTCCTCTATCTTATACACACACACACACACACACACACACACTCTCATGCACAGCATGCTCTATAATATATACAAAGCTACCTGGATCTTGTTAACAGCCACAGCCACAGTCACACACACATGGATCATAAAAACAAAGCCAATGATTTCCAGCTGAGCTCAGCTCCAAACGTACCTGCTTCTGGGTCCTGGTTGAAACGGCAGTACTTGGAGTTTTCAAGTGAGGGCAGGCATTGCTCAATGGGGACCCAAACATATGTCTCGGGGCACAGCAAATCAGAAGGTCTATACTGACCCTGAAGAAAGGTGAAGGAAAAAGGCACAGGCATTATTAACACAGCAACGCCAGAGATAAAGGGACCAGCGATCTAGGAAAGGTTTAAAGCAAAAACTTAAAAGTCAATCAGAAACTGTTTTACTGTAAATACTAAGCAACCCTGTAGCTGATAGCTTTCCCATCTCAGGAAAGCACGTCTGACTCAAGGCTCTCTGAAAGTTAACCACCACACTTAGGATGCCTGTGTTGATTTGGGAAATTTGAGGTTTTACTCCCTTTTAGAAGAAATATTTAATGTGATTCTTGCTGAGCTGACTGAGAATAATCAGTTTCAAAATTAAGTTGTCTTTTAAATACTAGTTAATTAACAAAGAAATTTCTTTTCATGTATTAGACTACTATATAAAGTGAACTTATTTTTCAACATAGAATTTCAGTATCCTTAATGACAAATTTTTTAATTTTTGATTTGTAGACTCAGTTGACAATATTCATTCTGTTCTAATGTAGAAAGTACTGTCTTATCACTATACTTCTACTATAAGCAATCTAAATTGATAATATATAATATAGAGAAGCTTAAGAAACAGAAGTTTCAGGCAAACATCTGATAATCCACTAAACTTTCTTCAAAAATCCCATTTAAAAATTTTATATATATACCTTTTTTTTTTTTTTTTTTTTTTT